GAGAGTTACCAGGGTTAGAGCATCTGGAATGCACCAAAGACAGTTCCGGAAGCTGGTATAAATGAAGGCTGCAGGTGACTCAAATAGAAAGCAAAGTGTGAAAGTAAAGCTAGCGGCCAAATCACAAACCAAAGGGGTACAAGTATCAGGTGGCAGAGCAGCGGTTGTCACTCAACCTTCCTAATGCTGTTCCCCTTTAACACAGTTCTTTATGTTGTGATGACCCCAACCATAAAGTCCTTTTCGTTGCTACTTCATAACTGTTATCTTGCTGTTATGATTCATAATGTAAACACCTGACATGCAGATGGTCTCAGGCGACCCCTGTGAAAGGGTCGATGGACACCCCACCCCACCCTGAAAGGTGTCACAACCCATAGGTTGAGAACCACTGCTGGCAGAGGCTAAATGAATCAATCCCTCAATGTGGGAACAGCAAAGAAACTCCAAGTGACAAGCTTTACCAACACTTTCTCCAAGAACTCAGAGGAACTTTTCAAATGTTTCAAAAGTTTGATCTAAACAAATTCAAACTTGTAGAGAAGTTCCTGGCTAGGAACCTAAAGAGTGTGTATAGTTACCTTGTAGCTGCTATCCCCCTGGCTTATTTATGAAAAGATCAAGAGATTTGGCTTCGTGACAACTATGGAACCTCGGAGATATCACTATTTGAAATCAGCTGCTGCTACTAGACCTCAACAGATCTCAGGCACTCCATTTTTGCTACAGGCAAGGACAATGGGTTCAAGTGTTATTTCAGTTGCTACTATAATAAATTGCCCAGACATAACAGAAGCTGAATCCATGTTTGGAAGCAAATGAATGAATCATTAAATCAGGCTTATGGGAGGCCTATAATTTGGGAGGTCTCAGAAGAGTAATTCACTTATATATTCATCCACTCTTACCTTGTAATTATTATGTCTTCCTCCATGGGGATTTGAGAAAACTCATGATAAAACATGCACCCAAATAGAAAATATAAATAATAAATAAAGCCAGCATCACGGCAGACACAAGTGGGTGGAATAGACTGAGATACACAAGCAATAACACAACACCTAATTACCTAAACCCAGCTACAAATCTGTACTGGATTGTCTACTGTAAGAAATGAAAGCCAAGCATGGTTTTCTTGACTTACATGGCCAAATGATTCTGGTTTCTTATGTCTTATAGGAAATTAACTTTAAGATAGAGTTTTGATCTGCTGTTTTGTTCTTGGAGCATTATGGGGCTGTGGTAAACAGTGCCCTGGATACTATTCTACAGCCAATGTGTTAGAGCTTTCCCACAGCTATGTGCTGTAGTATGAACCTCTAGTATGACCTGCATAGCATAGCTCACTGAAAGCAATTTTAGGAAATACTGCTCAGTTGGAAACTAAGTAGGGATGGAATCAAAGAATGCATCTTCAAAATCGAGGGAAATACACAGGCCCCCAACAGTCCTCTGCTAGCATCACCTCCTTTAACCAGACACTTAAAAACAGATGGAGAACAGATCATTGGGTTTATATTCTCTACTAAGGCCTGCAGCATGGTTGTTCTATACTGTTGCTAGGTGGTAATGTGTGCTTTAGTTATCAAATGAAATCTCTTCTATTAGTTTTTATGGTAAAGCGAGGCAGGAACCTGACCAAAATCATCTTCAGGATGAATAACCAGCTAAAACATCCTGAGTTAAACATCAGTGTTATTATGAGTACTCGTGGTCATTGGGGTTTATGAGGTTCAGCAAAATAGTTCATGTTCAGGTTCATTCATGCAGCTGCAGCTAGACAGTGGTTGGGCTGGAATTGTTCAAACTGGACACAACCAGTCACTGGCATGCCTCCTGACACAATAAATAGGTTTCCCGACCTCCTCCCCATTTCTCCAGCCCCATCTCACCATCTAGAGCTGTCTTGCTCTGAAAATGAAAATTAAATATCTATGGTGTTTGGGCCATTAGACATTTTGGGGTTAATTGATTATAGCTGCTAGCCAACCTTAAGTAATGCACCTATAGAAATACCTTGCTTTCCCCTACAGACCTCAGGCATCTTTAAGACATGCTACATATGAAAGAGATGAAAGTCAAAAATATAATAGTAAGATTAACATATATATGCACATGCAAAAAATAAATAGTTTGAGATAGTCTAAAGTGCAATAGTAAGTCTTCTGCTTCCCTCATTGCCCAATTGGTAGCTAGCTTTGCACCTACTACACTTATTTTTAGCTATTTTTGTTTTTTCAAGACAGGGTTTCTCTGTGGCTTTGAAGCCTATCCTGGCACTTGCTCTGTAGACCAGGCTGGCATTGAACTCAAAGAGATCTGCCTGCCTCTGCCTCCCAATTGTTGGGACTAAAGGCATGCGCCACCACTGCCCAGCTATTTTTAGCTATTTCTGTCTTAATTTTCTTGCTATTGCTACATAATATCTTCTATTTACAGTTTTTTAAAATTTATTTAATCTAGTGGCTTCCAACTATGAGTGATGAATAGTTACCAAGGTGTCTCTAACATAGAGTTTGTTCAGGAAACATTTAATTCTTAGAGTTCTGGAACCTGAACAGCCAAGATGAAGGTGCCGGAAGATCTATTTCAGTGTCAGCTGAGGGCTTGCTTCCTGGTTCATAGATTGTCATTGTCTCTGTGTGGTCTTATGGTGGAAATAGAGGTAGCAGAATTTGGAATCCTTTCATAAGGACACTGATACCACTCATAAGACTAAGCTCATCAACTAACCACTTCTTAGGGGCTCCATTTCTAACTCCATCCTACTGAGGCTTAGAAGCCAACATATAAATTTTAGTTGCATGGGCATAGATCTTCAATCCATTGTGCTAAGTATATATTAGGCAGAGGAAATAAGGTGGTGTCAGAAGGTTGTCACACTTTATAATTACACAAAGGAGAAGAGTTTGATGTGGGACAAACAAAACCTGTACTCAAATTTGTGTGAATTTTCACTTTGCACTTCTTTGCAAGAATAGAACATTTCTGAGATGGAGTGATGCTTCATCAAGCCTTTTAACATGGGTTCATCTCTAGAAATATTTTCAAGTGTGTCCAAGACAGCAGGAGTAAGGGTAGAGAGGAAGCCCAACAGTGTTAAATACCTTCTCTCTCTTAGAAACAGTCATACTTTATAGACACAATTCCATCCCTTTCTGCAGTGACCCAGACAAGGTGGGTTGTGAAAGAACAAAGTCTGGTAATTTGGTAACCTGTTGTTTCAGTTTCTTTCCCTATTGCTGAGGTAAACCACCCTGGAGAAAAGCTATTTAGGAAGGAAGGGCTTATTCTGGGTCACTGTCCCACGTCCATCATCATGGGGAAGTCACAGGATCTTGATCACATTGCATCCGTACCCAGGAAGTAGAGAAGGATGTATAAGTGTACTCGGTGGCCTTTTCCTTTTTATGCAGTCTGGAACCCAAGTCAGGGAAAGGGTGCCATCCACATCTAGAGTTGGTCTCCCTAACTCCATTAACCAGATCAACATATTCATCAAAGCACACCCAAGACTCCAAATAATTCCTTACAGGTGTGCCTGGAGGCTTAGCTCCCAAGTGGTTCCAGGTCCTGTCAAGTTGACAGCTAATAGATCACATTGTCCAAGGTCTCAGAGAAGCACTACGTCATCTTCATAAACCACTACATTTGGTGGCGGATGCTGATTAATCTTGTGTCTGCAAAAACCGATATTCAATTTGTGAGCTAGTTAAGGTCAAACCACTCTGTGAGGGTGCCTTGGGTGAATAAAGTGTCTTGTGCATATAATTTTGTAAACAGATCTTAAGTTACCAATTAAGCAGTTCCACCTGAGCCAGCACCTCTTGCTCCAACCCAAGGTGCGTGGGGGGAAGGGGGCGGGGCATCGAGTGACAGAGTGCATTTGCTTTTAGATCCCTGAAAGTCACTCTTAGGGACCATATTAAAATCGTATTTGAATTGTTGTCAGCTTATCACAGCATTGGCTTAAAGCCTAAAAGTGAGTAGAATAGTCCATCTCAAATAACATATCAGATCAATAGAAAATAACTTCAAATATAATTCACCAGAGTGCTTGACAAAGTAGTCCAAATTTTGTATTATTTTAGAAATAATCATTTTAACACTGTGTAGTCATCAGGTATTAGTCCTGAGAAGATTGTGGTCCTATAGGGGAAGATAGTTCCTATATAGAAAAAAAAATAGCTCTTTTTTTGTTGTTGTTCTCTGAATAATGTACAAGCCAATTTTTATGCTGAATCATGTCACTGAGCTGATGACATCATCTACAACCCACCATTGCATGTTTTTTAGTGAATTCTTCCTCGTGTTACAATTTCCACCATTGAGTTTTTTTCAGACATAAATAAAAACAGAAACTCTTATTTGGGTGGTGACAATTCTCATGAGACCTTCATTGCTATGGCTAAACCAAGAGAATCTGTCCTCTACTGGATGTGCTGCCAATGGTGAACAGCTAGGTCATGTTTTCATACTAAGGAAAAGAAATCTCGTTGTTACTTGATCTTGGACTTCAGATAAAATTTGATGAATTCTAAATCCATCGGTTGTATAGGCTATGCAGGATTATATATATTATAAATGTAAATGAAAAGGGAGATGGAAATATACTAGAACATCATTCCAGAACATCTTTATTTGAAGTGAACCTACTAGAATACCAGTTGGGAACCTCATTTAAAACAGAAATAGATGGTAGGTGTGGTGTCATACACACTCAGTCCCAGAACTTGGGAGGCTGAGGCAGGCAGATCTATATGAGTTCCAGGTCAGCCCAGTCTATAAAGTGATTTCTAGGTCAACCAGAACAACAAAGTGAGACCCTGTCTCTAAATAAATGTATAAACAAGTAAATAAATAGAAATTAACTGGGTGGCGGTACACCTCTGTAATTCCAGTACTAAAGAGGAGGATGAGAACAGCCTGGACTACACAGTGAGTTTAAGGTTAACCTGGGCTACATAGTGAGATTCTGCCTCTTAAAAGTAGGTATTCCCATGCTCAATTTGGCAGTACATATACTAAAATTGGAACCATATAGAGAAGGTTAGCATGGCTCCTTCGCAAAGATGGCTTGCAAATTTGTGAAATGTTCCTTTTTTTTTTTTTTTTTTTTTTTGGTTTTTCAAGACAGGGTTTTTCTGTGTAGCTTTGGAGCTTTGGAGCCTATCCTGGCACTTGCTCTGGAGACCAGGTTGGCCTCGAACTCACAGAGATCTGCCTGCCTCTGCCTCCCGAGTGATGGGATTAAAGGTGTGCACCACCAACGCCCATATTTTTTAATTTAAAAAAAGTAGATACTCATTTCTAGTTTTAGCTAGTTTAAAAGTGTGTACCACTGCCTCTGGATAAGCATGCTGGTTTTGTTCCATTCCCCTCTTTTCCTTCTCTCCCCCTCCCTCTGACACCCCCGTCATCTTTTTCAAAGACAGTCTCAGTATGCATACCCTAGCTGGTCTCACTGCTTAGCCCAGTCTAGCCTCAGACTTGTAATTCCTCTGCTTGAGTTTCCTGAGTACTAGAATTAAATGTCTATGCCATCACATTTGACAACCTGAGAATATTTAAAATATAGCAACACACACACACACACACACACACACACACACACACACACACTCGCGAGTGCGCACAGGTACAGAAGCACACACACACCCTTCTAAGCGGCTAGGGCTCCATTCAAATCAATTAAGTTTAAATCAGAATTTATGGTGTGAGAGTCTGACAACATGGTTTTTGTTTGTTTGTTTGTTTAATCTCAGTAGGGCAAGGTGACATAAGCTTTTAATCCCAGCACCTGGAGGCAGAGGCAGGTGGTTCTCTGTGAGTTCAAGACCAGACCAGCCTACATATCAGAACCATGTTTGCCTAACATGCCACCATGATTCCTGCCATGATGATAATGGACTAAATCTCTGAACTGTAAGTCACCCCCAATTAAATGTTTTCCTTATAAGAGTTGTTGTGGTCAAGGCACTAATACAAACCATGGTATGAACCTAGCTCCAAAAGAGCTACTAAGATGGTACCTTCTTTAAGAATAGAGATGGGGTGGAGACATGGCTCGGTTGTTAAGAGCACTGGTTCTTACAGAAGACCCTGGTTTGATTCCCACCACTCACATGGTGGCTCCTATGCATCCACAACACCAGTCCCAGGGGGCACATGATACACAGACATACATTGCAGTAAAATACTCATAAAATAAAGGAAACAAACCTAAAACAAATTAAAAATCATTCCTTAAAAAAGAAGAACACTAGAGATGGGGGCTGGAGAGATGGCTAAGCAGTTAAGAGCACTGGCTGCTCTTCAAGAGGACCAGGTTTGATTCGCAGCTCCCACAAGGCAGCTTACAACTGTTACTACAATTCCAGGGGATCCGTCAATCTTTTCTGGGCTCTTCAGGCATCAGACACACTGGTGGTACACAGACATACATGCAGGCAATATACCCATACACATAAAAACAACAACAGGAAGAAGGGCTGGTGAAATGGTTTAATGGGTAAAGCACATGCAACCAAGCTTGACAGCCTGAGTCTGATCATCACAGCCCACGTGGTTGGAGGAGAGACCTGACTCTCACAAGTTATATCCTGACCTCCACGAATTTCCTCCTTTCCAACATGCATGTACACAAAACAAATTAATATATATTTTTAAAAAGAGAAAGAATGAGCTGGGTGTTGGTGACCCACACCTTTAATCCCAGCACTGGGGAGGCAGAGGCAGGCAGATCTCTGTGAGTTGGAGGCCAGCCTGGTCTCCAGAGCGAGAGTAGGATAGGCTCCAAAGCTACTCAAAGAAACCCTGTCTCAAAAAACCAAAACAAACAAACAAACAAACAAAACAAAACAAAAAAGAGAAAGACTGTACCCTGCCCCCAACACCATCAATGAGGCTCGGTCCAGACATAAACAGTTGAATTACATCATAGCCACACACCCAGCTAGCACTCTGCTGAGACCTTCTGAGTTGCTAATTGCAGTTGGGAATTAATCATTCTTCCAACTGAGCCAGAGGCTTATTTTCTCCTCAAGCTTCTCATTATTAAGTTTGCTTGAACTGGTTAGTCGCAGACACTGTCAGTGTAAATAGTCATTCACCAATACACTATTAAACACTCAGGGAGGTTTTTACTATGCAGCCTGGCACACGAATTTATTCATGCAAAAATCAGTTAAGTACTTATTGTAAAATTCCATTTTTTGTTTCGTTGTTCTAGCTTACTTTGATGATCTCAGGAGTTTTAAAGCAAACTGTCATTTTCCTTTTGTGCCCTGAAACCTAATATGAAAACCGTGAAGAGTTCTAGTTCTGTCCTTTCCAGAAAGCCACCTATCTCAGAAGAGAGTGTCAGTAAGGACTTGGTGTGAATGCCCTTGAAAGTGCTAGCTCTCCTGTGCCTCCTTGTACATTAACAAAAGTATTAAAATCGTTTCACCAGGGTGAAAATAATCCAGCAAACCAGTTACTATTCTATTACCTGGTCCCAGAAGCTGGAAATGGAGGGCTTTTAGTCTCTCTCTCTCTCATCATAGTTAGAGGAAGGTGCTCCTATTTTGTATTGGAGCCGGTAGAACTCAGCTGAAGTCTCATGAGGAGAGGGCAGGGAGGTTGAGTCTCAGGAAGAGAGGACAGGAGTGCTAGGTAAGAAGACTCTGACACTCCCGACCCCGTGTGGATCAGGTACTGGGATGCTGGGAGTACCCAGGTGGAGCCATTGCTGGGGATGCTGGGAGCCCCCAAAGGTGGATCAGGTGCCTAGGATGCTGGGAGACCCTACCCGCCACCCGGTGGATCTGCAGTTGGGAACCCCCACTGGGTGGGTCCCGAGCTGGGATGCTAGCCTGACTGGACCTGAGGCTATCACAGTTTTTCCTAATTAGCATCCCTAGCTGGGCTTGGTGGCACATGCCTTTAATTCCAGCACTGGGGAGGCAGAGGCAGGGGGATATCTGTGAGTTCGAGGCCAGCCTGGTCTCCAGAGCGAGTGCCAGGATAGGCTCCAAAGCTACACAGAGAAACCCTGTGTCGAACAACAACAACAACAACAACAACAACAACCAAAAAAAAAAGTAAAATTAAATCTCAGAACCTAATTGGCATCCTTGAGCATTTCCTAGGCTCTTGCCTAGATCTAAGACTGCAAACGAAGAGAGAGCCAGAATACAGATGGGAACTGTGTAACTAAGCAGGTGCCGGTTTCTTTTTCCAAAAAAGTAAAATCCCCAAAGAGATACTCTGAAATCTAGGCAAGGATCTACTTAGAGTTGAGGTACGATCCCTAAGCCTCTAATTTGGGACTGAAGGAGCAGGGCTCATATGAAAGGGCTGTGTGGGATCAGGCTCCAGCCTAGGAGACGATAGACTACAATAGAGTCCCGCGGGGCGTTTTAGAACTTCTGCTCCTCTGCTCAGACAACTCCAGTTCCGTCGTATGTACCCTGTCCGGAACCCTGTCTCACTGTCTTCCTCACAGTCTGCACTGAGGCAGAGACTGAATCCATCTTGCTAACCCTAAGAGTCACGGCAGCACTCTTTTGAGCTCTGTTTCACACTCTGCTCACCGGCCCAGTCCCGTGGGCCCTTACGCAGAACAGATCGTGGGCTCCTTCACCTGCGCAATGTGCTGTTCCCACACTTGCACAGTGAGGCGTGGCACCTTGTGAGGGAGTGGTAGTATGGGTTTAAAATGCAAGCCCACTTTTGTTATCTAGAACCCTTCAGTGATGTCTGGTTCCTCTAACCCAAATGGTCTCTACACTAATCGGTTCCTAGGGCTTTCTCTCAGTTCCCTGTGCAACACTTTGCTACCTCCTCCCCAGTCTCCTTAACTCCTCATCTTTTAACTCTCTGCTTAGGGGTCATTTCCTTACAAACGCCCTTCTGGAACCCCTGGTATCCATGGTGATCACTCCAGATGGGCTGGTGTTTCTTTGCCACAGCATTTTCTCCCGTTTATTTATCAGTAGTGTTATTATTGGTAATCGGTTTCTCTAATTTGACTTGTAAATTTCATGAGTGTGAGGAACACGCCCACTTCCCTCTAAACTGAGAGCTTAATAGCAACCCATAATGTGTGTTATGACTGATTACAGCAGATGGTGTGCTAGTCCGGTGATGAAAACCAGAACTAGGGGAAAGCTGGAAGAGTGAAGGGCCCCCTGGGTCGTGAACCCAGGAAGAATTCCTAAGAATGATTTTGCATGGCTTGACATGAAATGCCCAGAAGCTGACCAGGAAAGGTGAAACACTCCTTTTTCAGCTCCGGGCATCAGGGTGGGGAGTGGGAATGGGCTTCTATCTGTCCCTGCAAATGTGGCTCCAGTTCACAGGAAGAAAATATACCTTGTTGGGAATCACACAGTTGGTCAACTGGAGGTCTGAGATTCAAACAGGCTCTATGCTTTGGCATCTTTTACATCAAGCTGCTTTTCTCATGGGTAGGACCCACCAAGGTGCAGGCAGATACTTACCAGGGACTTCTGTGCTGCCCCATCCTGTCTGACCTGGGATGGACAGTATCTGTGCTTGCTATTTCCTCTTCAGTCCATCCTGGAGTCTGCACTGTGATGGCTGTCACTGGATGTTTGTGCAGAAGGTTCCCATTCTGACCTTTGCTGTTGATATCTTTCACTTGTTACTGTAGGCTGTCGAGGTAATAATACTGGTGGCGCTGCCTTTGGGAATCAATGCTGATGGAGTTCTCAGCAGAGATACAGGTGGCAAAGGGGCAGAACAGATGGCGATGGAGCTGGAAGATGGTTATTGCTGTCTTAGAAAGGCTTTAGATAGCTACAAGGAGCAAGGTCAGAGACAGGCCAGGGGTGCAGTATGAAGATGCTTCAGGTCACATGACACCATGTACACTGGTAGAAAACAATGCCAGCCACATTCCCACCACACTGGGGATCTTATTAGAAGAAAGACATACTTTGTCTTGTGATTTGATTGTGTGTGTGTGTGTGTGTGTGTGTGTGTGTGTGTGTGTGTGTGTGTGTTATTGAGAAGGGGAGTGTGATGTAGGATGGCCTTTAAGGAGTTGGAAACAAATCATTGCCAGTACGTGCTTTACACAGTAGTGTTCTATTGATTAAG